TTCCTGGCCAGGAATCTGCCTGGGGCTTTCAATGAAGCCAAGCTCATCACCTTCAGCATGCTGGTCTTCTGCAGTGTCTGGATAACCTTTGTCCCCACCTACCTGAGCACCAAAGGGAAGTACATGGTGGCTGTGCAGGTTTTTTCCATCTTGGCCTCCAGCGCTGGACTTCTGGGCTGCATCTTCATTCCCAAGTGTTATATTATTTTTTTAAGACCAGACCTGAATACAAAGCAATATTTATTTTCAAAATGAGATATGAATTGACTTGGCACATTTATTCCAAAATATTATTGGCAATCTAATGTCTCTAAAGGACATGATGGCTCAGTGGCTAAGATGCTGAGTTGTTGATCAGAAAAGTCAGCAGTTCAATGGTTTAAATTCCTAGTGCTGCATAATGGAGTGAGTACTTGTCCCAGCTTCTGCCAACCTAGCAGTTCGAAATGATGTAAAAATGCAAGTAGAAAAATAGGAACCACCTTTGGTGGAAGGTAACAGCATTCAATGCACCTTCGGCATTTAGTCACATCAGCTAACATGATCATGGAGATGTCTTCAGAAAGTGCTGGCTCTTTGGTTTTGAAATGGAGATGAGCACCACCCCCTAGAGTTGGGAATAACTAGCACATATGTGCGAGGGGAATCTTTACCTTTACCTAATGTTTCTAAAAAAGCACAAACACACACAAATAAAAATTTGTTTGGTTTGGTTTTGCATCACAATAAAAATAATCCAAACTATGTATTTTTAATAAATACATGTCCCCCTTATACTTTCTCTCTCTCTCTCTCTCTCTCTCTCTCTCTCTCTGTGTGTGTGTGTGTGTGTGTGTGTGTTCTTTTTCCAAAGTTAAGCACCGGTTACTTAGCTAGCTCTAACTAATTATAGAATGGAAGATGAAACTTTGCTGGAGTGCTGTTTGGGACCTGTTTTTTTAATCCTGATCTGTTTAATGTTTGCCTTCTGACATTCTAGGCCAGACGTCACTTTAATGGTATGTGTGGCGATAAAGCCAATAAGCTGTCAAGATGATTGATAATCTAAGCATTATAGCAATATGACTTTCCTGTTCTCTTCTCAGCTTCGGATGATGGTTTCCAAATTGAATTCTTATAGCGGTGCGGCTATATTCTCTAAACATAGGATTTCGGGAGGGGGAGGCTGTTTGGTTAAAGGCAAAGCTTTTAGATCTTCCCCCACCTCCCTCTGGCATAAAATAAATCTTTTAATTTTGAAAACTCCCAGAGGGAGGAAGTTGCTCGTCTCAAATTTTAATAGGATCTGGCTGGATACCATGATGGTGGGGATGATCATCATAATCACTTGGTTGGGTTTATCTTGAGGATTGTTGCTCATTTTATCCCCATAAAAACAACCCTTGAAGTAGGTTGAGTTGAAAAAAAATGACTGGGCTAAAATATATAATAAGTAGAATACTTTATTGGGCCAAGTGTCATTAGACACAGAAGGAATTTGTCTCCGGTGCAGAAATGTCGGAGTGTTTCACTGAACTTTTATAAAGGAGGTTGAAGCTGAGTTTTAGTCTTCCTAATCCTAACCAGAGGTGGGTTCCTACCAGTTCGGACCGGTTCAGCCAAGTAGGTAGTAATTTGACCTGCCATGCCCCCAAACCGGTTCTATTGTTGACGGCGCCATCTTTATTTTTGGTTCTGTGCATGCACAGAACAATCTTCATTGCAAAAATGTAACATTTTTTTCCTTTTCTAATGTTTCACACATGTCCAGACCTTTGTAGCTGCAAATGCGCATGCACGTGGAGTGAAAATTTTTTTTTGTGCACCGAACCAATAGTAATGTCAGTAGCAACTCACCCCTGATCCTAACTCAAGGTGGCTCAGTGGCTAAGATGCTGAGCTTGTCGATCAGAAAGGTTGGCAGTTTGGCGATTTGAATCCCTAGTGCCATGTAACGGAG